ACCTGCAGCTTTCGCGCTCTGAGTTCCATAGCCTGCTGGAGTCCGACTATGAGGACCTCGTACTCGGCCTGGTTGTTTGATGTTTCAAAGTTCATTTGCATGGAGTATTCAATTGCTATACCTTCTGGGTTCTCAATGATAACCCCGGCTCCACTGCCTTTGGAGTTAGAGGATCCATCTACATATACTTTCCAAGTATCCGGGTTGTTTGAACTCTCCCTTTGGATTGAAGTGAGTTCCCTAATAAAATTCGCCAATGCTTAGGATTTGATTGCTTTACGACTTTTGAATACTATGTCTAATTCTGACAGTTCCAGCGCCCAAGCCATTATTCTTCCTGCTAAATCGGGTTTGTGAAGGACCTGTCGAATTGGCAAATCTGATCTGACCACAATCTAGTGTCCATGAAAATATGCTTTGAGCCGTCTAGCCGAGATTAGCAATACGAAAGCCACCTTCTCCAGCTTCTGGTATCTGAGCTCTGCTCCTTACAGGAGACGACTCACAAAGTAGATCGGCTGCTGCCCTTCTTCGTTTTCTTGTACTAGGACCGAACTAACAGCAACGTCTCCCACAGAAAGGTACATCATCAATGCCTCCCCTTCTCTTGGTCTGGTTAAAACTGGTGGTGAAGCCAGCTGCTTCTTAATCTCCTGGAATGCGGCTTCACATTCCGAAGTCCATCCATACTGCACCTCCTTTCGAAGCAACTTAAAGAAAGGTAATGTCGTTTCTGCAGACCGAGGTAAGAATCTAGTGAGAGAGGCTAACCTTCCCGTCAGCTGTTGTATCTCTTTCTTGTTCGTTGGGGCTTTCATCTCCAGCACAACTCTACATTTGTCTGAATTGGCTTCAATGCCCCTATGAGTCAGCATAAATCCAAGAAATTTCCCTGCAAGGACTCCAAAAGCACATTTGGCTGGATTTAACCGAATATTGTGCCGTCTTAGTTTCTCAAAGGTTGCCTCCAGATCTTCAATATGCACCTTCGAGTTCAATGACTTAACTATCATGTCATCTATATATACTTCAACACTTTTACCAAGTTCTTCTGCAAATACCTAGTTCACCATTCTCTGGTAAGTAGCCCATGAGTTTTTCAACCCAAAGGGCATCACATTGTAGCAATAGTTCGCCCTTTCTGTAATGAAGGTCGTTTTCTCCTGGTCTTCCGGATGCAGCGGGATTTGATTATACCCTGAATAGGCATCCATGAATGACAACATCTGGAACCCGGATGAACTGTCAACCAGTTGGTCTATGTTAGGCATAGGGTATGCATCCTTATGGCATACTTTATTTAGATCAGTGTAATCTGTGCATACCTTCCATTTTCCATTTAGCTTCTTGACCATTACCACGTTGGATAGCCAAGTTGTGTATTGTGTTTCTCTGATGAAACCTGCTTCCAACAATTCCTTCACATGATCTTCCAACATCTGCCGACATTCCGGGCTAAGCTTCCTTTTCTTCTGAGCTACCGGCTTAGATCCTGGGTACACTACAAGTTTGTGACAACAGAAAGCAGAGTTTACCCTTGGAATTTCTGAGGACCTCCAAGCGAAAACGTCCTTACTTTTCCTTAGACATGTGGTAAGTTGAACTGTTACCTCGTTCTTCAACCCCTTCCCGATCTTTGCAGTTTGTCCCTGCTCTCCGATGGTCATTTCTTCCAATTCTCCGTCGGGTTAAGGCCTTGACATCTGAGTATCATCCCTCATGTCCAATTCCACCATGTTGACCGGAGTCTTTTTCTCCTGGCTCGAGCCGTCCTGACTGCTACCACTTTTAATCCTGGCTGAAGGTTTGGGATCACTTTCCACTGCCCTAACTGATTTGAAATAACAGTCTCGAGACTCTTTTTGATCCCCGACAATGGTGATTACTGTGTTCTGCTTACCAATCATCTTAAGTTTTTGATGTTTAGTGGAAACCAACATATCCTAATATAATATTGTATTCCGAAGGGAAGTCGGCTACAATGAACCTTACCCTTTCAGACTTGTATGCCTCATTGGTTCCCAAAATGAGCCTGAGATCGATATACCCTTTGGGGATGGTGTTATGGCCATTGAATGCAATCAAATCCGTGTTGCAGGGCTTCAAATCTTCTTCGTCTAGATTCATTTTTTGGAATGCCTGCCATAGGATTATGTCGGCACAGCTGCCGTTATCTACAAATATTTTTTGACTTTGCAGTTGACTAGCGTTCCTGTAATAACTAATCCGTCAACATGTCCTAGCATCACATCCTCGAACTCTTTCTTGGTGAAGTATAGTAGGGGCGGCTCTGGTTCGACTTCTTTAAACTTAGGTCGCTCTCGTATCGAAATCACCTCTCTCAAATATTTTCTTCTGGCATTCATGGTATTGCCTCCCCCACCAAAAGCCCCACTAATCACGTTGCATTCAAACTCCGGTTCCACGAATTCATCCTCTTCTCTGGCCGGCTTTTTACCGCGGCCTTCTTCTTTGAATCTTTTTTCTCTTGGCGGACTCATAGGCCGACCTCCTCTTCTCTTCCTGTTGTTCTTCCATCCTTGAGTATTTATTAGATATTGACGCAGCTTTTCATCCCTGATATACTTTTCAATTGCATCTCTCAGATCCCAGCATTCATCAGTAGTGTGTCCAGGCCCATCATGAAATGCGCAATACCGAGATTGGTTTAAACCGGCTGGGTTCAACGAAAACCGGGGTCTATCTACCCTCTTCATCTCTGTGAAGGCTACTTCCCCCCAGATTTGCGACCTGGATGAATTTAGAGGTCTGTACTTCTCAAATTTTCCCTTAACTGGGATTTTGTCATCTTGTTTTTTACCCCGAAAATCATTTTGCTTCCGACTTCCAGGCTTCTCTATTTGGCTAGGGTATTGCCTCTGATCTATATTCTCGATCTCCATCTGTTCGAACTCCAGATACTTCTTTGACCGTGTTGTTAACTCTACCAGAGTCCGAACTGGGTCTTTGTATATGGACTTAGCCAACCTAGAAGAGCCATGCAATCCTGCAATTACCAGGTGCAGATGAACGTTTTCAGATAGCCCTGGGACCTGCAAAGCCGCCATTTTGAATCGGTCCAAATACTTTTGCAAGGTTTCCCCAGGTTGCTGTCTTATCTTCCCCAGCGCAAACTCTGACTTTGGCTGTTTTTTGCTAGTGGCAAAATTCAGCAAGAATCTTCCCCCGAATTCTTCAAAAGATCTGATGGATCCTGCTGGTAATGATGAAAACCACGTTTGAGCCGCTCCTGTCAACATAGTCGCAAAGAGTCGTGTTATCAAAGGCTCTTCTATCCCTTTGATGTACATGGTCGTATCAAAGGCATCCAGGTGTACTTGGGGATCCTGCATTCTGTCATATTTGAGAAGCTCTGATAAATTCAGATTTTCTGGAAAGGGTGCATCAACAATCTCGTCCACGAAGGGACTATCGTTATATTTCCCCCTGTGATACTTTCTCCTGTAGACCCCAGACACATCGTCCGCGTTTCTAAGCGAATGTCTATTATCCAGAGGCTGGGGGCTATCTCTCCTCCATGTTGTACCTCTTCCACCACCCCGGCCTTCCTCAGGCCGAGGTTCCTGATTACGAACCGGGTTAAGAACGACCCTTTGAGGTCGGCCATCAGTACTTCTCGCTTGAGCCCATGTTCGATCATTGTTCTATTGGGGATTCGTGATCCTCAGGTTGGTCATGACCCTCGTCATAGGTTGTGTAGGATCTGGGTTAGAGACTCGCCCTAGTCGAGTTTCCAACTCTCAAATATGCCTAGCACCTTCCACCCTCTGGAGCTCATGCCTTTTTCCATCTCCTCCATTCTCCGAAGCGTCGCAGCAACAGCCAGATCTGTCACCCGTGGATCATTAGCTGTACCATTTGGGACCTCCATGGCATCTGCAGCCTGCTTCTCCATCGGTTGCATCCCCTGCACGTATGGGGCATTCGGGTTAACAGCCGGAGTTGATGCCGAATCAGAATGCACATCGCTAACGTGCACAACGTCAGTGTCTATCTGTTGATGATCCAGAGGATCCTCCCTGATCGGAGGAATAGGTTGGTGCCTGGAACTTGATCTTGAGTGTTGTCGTTGCCTGCTTCTTGTCGTCCTAGCCATTTTGATAAACAGCTTTTAACCACGTAATCGTAGGGATCCTCCCCACAGACGCCGCCAATGTTCTGCTTGAGGAAGAGATGTCTAACTCGGTGGTTAGGTGGTTGATGTTGGATTTAGTGCTCTCTCCAGATACCTATGGATTAGGTATCTTGGTGGCAGCGAATCACTACACATTGTATACCGGCCGTAGCCAAAGGTGGTGTGTGTGTGCACTGCGTGATTGAATGAAATAGGGTTTAAGAGAAATCAGTCATACCTTTGGTCTTTAGCTCCTATTTATAGTGCTTACTTCTGGGCTTGTATTGCTTGGGTCTTTAATGGATATGGGCCTCACACGGGTCCATAACAGAGGCGCTTGCACGTGTAATAGAGGAGCAAACGGAAGAACCACCACCGCCAAACTTGCATTAAGGAAGCTCGAGCACAACCTCATAACTTGTCAAGGTAAACATATCGAATCACTACTTATAGGTTAAGGCCATGAAATTTTACTAGGCACATTAAGTACTGTTTTGCTAAATAATCTCCCATAGACAATAGGAATGTTTCTTTTGGACTTTAAAAAATTAATCAAATGTATCTTACAAGGACTTAAATACCCCTTAGCCGCCTTGTTTAAAGATTGCCTAGACTTGTTTTCTAAGGAGCATCATCGGCAAAACAATAATCATTGTCCCTTGTGACATGTGAGTTTTGACACACTCAATTAGTTAATTCTGAAATCCCATGATTAGTAATGTGTTATATTTTTTGAAAGAACGGGCCGAAGCAAAAAAAAGAAAAAGAAGAGAGAGTTAAAAGGCCACATCATTGAAATCTCCCTTTAAAAGAAAACCACAACTTCACTAACAAGCTAGAAAGGCCTATTCCAACAACAACAAAAATGGATGTAGAGAAAGTCTTCCACATGACTGGAGGAGTTGGCAAAACTAGTTATGCCAAGAATTCCTCACTACAGGTTATCTTTCTCTCTCTCTCTCAACCTGTGATCGTTTTCTTGTCATGGCTTAGAGTTTAATTCTTTCTAATAAGGTAAAGCACATAATCATACAAACAGTTGAGGATCTTTACCTTGAAACCACTCCCAAGAGCATTGGCATTACTGATTTGGGTTGTTCCTCTGGACCCAACACTCTATCAATCATCAAAGATATCTTCCAAGCCATCCAAGGCATAAGCCAAAAGATCAAGCACCATTTTACCGAGTTCCGTGCCTACCTTAATGATCTTCCAACAAATGACTTCAACTCAATCTTCAAGACCTTGCCAGAGTTCCACAGGTTGCTTATGCAAGACAGAGAACATGGGGTTCCTCCCATTTTCATAGGAGGTTACCCTGGTTCATTTTATGGAAGACTTTTTCCAAACAGTTACCTACACTTTGTCCACTCCTCCCACAGTTTATACTGGCTTTCAAGGGTGAGGGCCCAATATATCTACTCTCTTTTTTTCATTTATACCATTCCCTTTTTCTAAGCATGCTCATCTTGTACCCTTACAACCCTTATATGGGGCTATATACGTAGTCATAGTTGTTGCTGGTTTGTGTCATACAGGTTCCTCCAACTCTCTATGATGAACACGGAAGGTCATTGAACAAGGGTTGTGTTTACATTTCTGAATTAAGCCCTGCAGCGGTGCCAGAAGCATACTTGCAACAATTCCAGCAAGACTTTTCCTTGTTCTTTCGGTCAAGGTCAGAAGAACTAGTTGTTGGGGGAAGAATGGTGTTGATTTTCTTGGGAAGAAGGGGCCCAGAACATGTTGACATAGGCAACTCTTTCTTCTGGGAGATTCTTTCTCGTTCATTTGCTATTTTAGTCTCACATGTATATTTCTAAAATGCAATATATTATTATTATCATTATTTATAAAAACTAATAAGTTGAAATTCAGCACACAATGACAAATTAAAGTTCGCAACAAGTACCTATTAGCTTTTTTCTTTTGCAGTAGAAGGTTTTCTTTGCAGCATCCCAGATTTCCTTGGCAGTCTCGAGACGAAGAAAGTGTTGCATAAGAGATGGGCTCATGGAGTCAATAAGCCAACTCTTGACTCATTTGTTGTCAGTAACCCAAGCATCATATATGGGATCAAGTGACATTCGGTTTAAGATTAGCACCGGTAAGAAACCCACCTTTGTTGTGGGCACCAATAGGCATATCGAGAAGTTGAGACCATAAGGAATAGTTGGTATCATCAAGGACAATGATAATAGAGACTGATGAATGATCTTGTTGAAGAATAATGTTTTGGGGAACATGGGGGGGGGGGGTTGGAGTTTTCAGAAGCAGAGTTGGCCATTGAAGAAGAAAAGAAACAATACGAATACAGTTAAAAAAATGGCGTATAAAAGAAGAGGATGTGATATGGGTGGGTGGGTTAAAAAAAAAATATGATGATTCGGGGCTTCACACTTAGAAAGGATTAGAACCTTGCTTGTGATACCATGTCATAAAGTAAATACACATAAACTGGGATAATAGTTTCTCTCATTCTTTTTCTACGATTGAGATCTATATATACATATATGCCTAGCACTTAAATTGCTGTAAACATTTTGAATTGATAAATATCCTAGTAACGTCTATTCTAACTTTGAGTTTACAACATATAACGGAAAGATTAAATTACAACTTTATTGCAGAAACGTATAACGGAAAGATTAATTGAGAACATATTTGAATTCAAACTTTGAATTCAAATTTCAATTCAACATATATTATATAAACTTCTAATTCATAAAATTGCATTACATTATATTTATGCACTTTAAAGATGATCTAAGTTCAATGCTAAACTGCTAACATAGACACCAATCACCATGCTTCAATCCGAAATACCTTAAGAGAAGGTTTAATTACCAAGTTTGTGGCCTTTTTTGACTTTGTATACCGCACACTTTGGGGCAGCCACTAGCACCAATTGTCAACTCAACACTCACTTGATGTTCAACTTTATAGCCTTGCAATGTTCTACCATCAAAGTATAAATAAATCGATAAACTAAAATATTCTAAACATGAAACTAGTGACTTTCTTCTAGCTAGATCATCAAAGTCAAAATATAAACAAGTTTTAAAGAACGGGTTTAAAATTAAACCACTACTAAGATTTTGTTTATTTTAAAAAAAGAATAAAGAATAATTGAAGGAAGGTCAAGAGAGCACTTGTCAAATAGTTGTGGGTCCTAACAACCCTCCAAGTAGTGGGATGCTACGGACACCAAAATTCTCCTATAAAGTGCATGAATGCATATTACTTATATCATATATGCAGGTGATATATATTTTATACATATTAAAGTCAAAATGTCCACTCACATCTGTTTAAGCAGTATGCTAAACAATGTGGTTGTCAACTAAAAACCAGGCAAAACGACCAAATTAGTTTAATTTTTTGAAAAAAAATTCTCAAATAATGTAACTTTTAAATAAATATCAATGTAATGTAGTGAGTTTCAAATTCTGTCTTTATGGGACTGGGCTGCCACGAATCATAAGCTTATAAGTTGAGATATTTATTTTGAAAAACAATTAACCATGATTTAAACCATGGTTAATATCATCATAAGACAAGTCCCGTCACAAGAGTTTGTGAGACTGTTATAAAATTAACAATAGTTAAATTGTGGCTAATATATATATATATATAGGGTCAGGATCATTTTACACCAGTGTAAGTTACACTCTTAATCTTGTCCGCTGATCCCACTTATATCTAATGGTTCAATTTTTTTAGTAATATGAGTCATTGGATACAAGTGAATCAATGGTCAAGATTGAGTGTAAGACTTCTAACTCTTACTCTGATGTAAAAATATCCTGCTCCTATATATATATATATATATATATATATATATATATATATATATATATATATATGAGGTAGGATCCTTTGACATCAGTGTCAAATTTGAATTTTGACACCTCGTCTGATAACCGTTAGATCAAAAAATATCAACGACTCTGATTTGTAAGCATGTGACACCATTGATATTTTTTGATCTAATGGTTATCAGATGAGGTGTCAAAATTCAAATTTGACACTGGTGTCAAATGATCCTACCTATATATATATATATATATATATATATATATATATATAGGAAGGATCCGTTTACAAATTTTTTTTACAAATTTTTGCAAAGGGAAAAGTGTGTGTCATTTTAAAGGATGTAAAGTTGTGTCATTTTAAGAGAGAGAAAGAGATAGATAAAGGAGGAGAGAGAGTTGACAAAAAAAATAAAGATGTGGGTCCCACCTCTTTGTCAGAGTGAAAGGATATAAGTTGTGTCATTTAAAAGGATAAACATTTTTTCCTTTTGCAAATTACACTATGTACCCCCGGGAGAACATAGTGTAACCTAATGTTTTCCCAAGAGTACATAGTGTAGTTTGTAAGAGTTTTTAAACAAAAAATTTGTAAATATAACTACCCCATATATATATATATATATATATATATATATATATATATATATATATATATATATATGGAAGTCTTGTATGGGAGACTTGTCTAGGACTAGTCTCACATAGATAGGGGGCAGGACTCTCATCTTTAGGTTGATATTATTTTAAAAAAGAGTGACGATATTTTAATTATTAAAAAAATTTACTACTAACTTACTACCCATCACATTACCGTTGAATCAAAGCGAGAGAATGTTAAAAAGTTTTTGAAGAGAGAGAAAATATTAATCTAATGATGATTAGATACAAAGGCAAATCCAAGTGTTAGAGAAGGGGGGCAAGTGCCCACCCTTAAAATTTGATGCAAAAATATAAATTATTTTTCTATTAAAATTCAAATTTTCCTAATTTAATTTTGGGGTAGGATATTGTAACAATCAAAAGGGTTACTACTAATATTACTACCAATTAATTTCACCATTAGATCGATTATGTTGATCTACCGATTATATTTATTTTCATCTTTGTATGGTTATGATTCTCTATATTTAATACTTTATATTTATTTTCACCTTTGTATGATTATGATTTTTCATATTTAATGATTTTACATTAAATATGGGGATCATAACCATACAAGATGAAAATAAATATAATCGTTAGATCAACATAATCGATCTAACGGTGAAAGTGATTGGTAGTAACATTGGTGGTAATCCTAGTTGATTGTTACGATATCCTACCCTTTAATTTCTCTCCTTCTATTTTATTTTCTCGTAAGTTTTTTTTTCTCCTCCATCTTCATTGTCCAAACCTAACAGCAGAGAGCTTGTTTCCATCTACATACTGATTCATCTTCTCTCAAACCTCAATCTCCGTTATTAGAAGTTAAAACATTTGTTTCTTTCTCCATCATCGGTCAAGTTGAGTCGCAATCTGTCCAAATCTAGATCTAAACCAGACTCAGCTAGCCGGCATCTGCTCTCAAGTCGCATTCCAGACCAGACCCAGTACTTGAACAGTGCCCACCCTTCATTAATTTCCTGGATCCGCCACTGATTAGATATGTAGTAAGTTGATAGTGAAAAAATTTGGTAGTGACCCAATGGGTGCAACTCAGTTGGTTCCTTGGCGCTGAGTTAGTGGGGTTGGACATGTGTTCGATTCCCGCTGAATGCATTCTTGGGGAGGGGGCTGAACCTTTAGCCATCACTGACACCTGCACTCCGGATTAGTCCCATAGCCGGCTCAAAGAGTCGAAGCTTGTGGGGATACCGAAGGGAGCCAACTCGCCTCAAAGAGGTAATTAGGGTTGGGTAACTTCAAAAAAAAAAAAAAATTAGTAGTGAGAATATCCCTCCTCTTTAAAAAATTGCAATATTTGAAAAATAATTTTTAGAATTTGCATTGATTTGGTCGTTTTCCCCTAAAAACCAGGTTTTCTTGGAGAAAAATTCTTACATGAACGAGTATTTTTAAAATTGATCAAAATCGAAGAATTGTATTAGTTTCAAAAAGTTGATCCATTTTCTGTAAAGTTTAAGCAAATTTAAGCTTAGTGCAATTGAAATATTATTATTTTTTCACAAAAAAATTTAAGAGAAAAAAAGTGACCCCGTTTCAAAATCAATGCATGCCGGATGTGATAGTTCCAACTCAAAACTATAAAAAATAAAAAATAAAAAGTCAATGATTTAACCGTACGTGGAGCCAACATTCATCAGTGGTTGAATTAAATTTTAAAGCTATGATATCAAATGTTAACAATGATATAAAAAAAGTAATTAATATTGAATAGTGATGGTGGGTATGTCGGAGGCATAAATGTCGCTAAATTATTATAAGTCTTTTGTAAAGTGAATTTGTATTTAATATATATAAATAAATAAAACTATATTTATTTTTAATTTAATTTAAAATATATTATAAATTCATTTTCAATAAAATATAAAATATATTATAGAATTTTTTTAATTATTATACATTCTGATTTCTACCCAAATGCTTGACCTTTTAATGTAAGAAAAAGTAATATTAAACGTAGTTATAAATAAATTTATGTGAAAAATTAAATTGATGATTCTATGAATTCAACTATGAATTATTTTATAAATAAAATTATCTTCTTTTATGAATGGGAATATTTCACGACAACATTTTTTCTTTATTAGAATTCAGCCTAAACAAATTTTATTGTTTTTTTTTTTTTGTACTTAGTCCCGTTGGGCCTGAAAGAGGCCCCAATAGAGCTTAAAGAATCCTGCCGAAGGGCTTTGGAAGGACAACGAGAGAGTAAAACAATTGCTAAGATTTAAGCTAAATTTTAAGTCGTATAACGGGTACTTAATTAACTTACAATTTTTTTATATATTTTTTTGGTATAGATTTTTACGGATTTATATTATTAATATTTTCATATTTTATAGGTTAATATATTAATGAGGTAAATTATAATGGTTAGTCTTTTATAAAAAATGATGACTATTTATTTTAGAGTTCAAATTTAAATAACCAAAAATTACAAGTATTGATGCTCCATAATAAACAATAAAAATCAAATAAATAAAAACATTAATTAAAACCAAAGATATTAGAAAGACTAAAATGTAAATTAGTTGAAATTTCTGAAACTTGAATCTACTTTAAACCAATATTTGTTAAGGGTTCATTTTTTCTGCAATCAATATAGATAATTTATTTATATTAAATCTAAAATGATGTCATTTTGGAATAGAAATTAAGGTATTTTTGTAATTATAATTTATTTCAAGTTATAATAATCTTTTTCATTATTATTTTTTTAATCCAAAATAACATCATTTTAAGAGTAAATGTAGATAAGTTATCTACATTCACTATAGAAATATTAAACCCATTTATTAAATACTACGAATGTTTGAATTCCAAAGAGAAGTTGTAAACATGGTCATTATTCCTATACGCATATATCTTTTTATTTTTCATTGGTTTGGTACAATTATTGGATGTTAGTTGTATTAAAGACTTTTACAGATTGTCCACCAAAAAAAAAAGACTTTTACAGATTTATTTTAAACTCAGCTGTTAATAAAGACTTTATAAAATAAAGTATGAAACTTTTTTAATAAATGTTTGATAATGATTTTAAATTAAATACACTGAATTATATAATTATTTAATGACGTGTTATTACAATATTTAATAAATTTAATAATAAATAAATATTTTTTATTAAATAATGTGATAACGTTATGCACGCCTTTAAATAAACGAATAGTAAGTTTTTCTTACTTACAAGTGAGTTAATTTATCCTTTATCATATAAGACCTGAATAGATCGAGAAAATATATGAAATAGAGCATACAATACAAGCTTTGTCGTGCACAACCAGAAAGATGATGATAAACGCAATATATGGGAAAAAGAGAAAGGTAGAAAAGCAGAGTCGCGGGAAAGGGTGACTGGTCTCAGTTGCCATCATTTTGTACTTTGTGCTTTTGCCTACTCTTTAATGATTTTGCTTTTTGTCTGGTCTATTTACTCATAATATTAGCAATGTTTAGATCCATAGAAAAGTATAATTCATATGCAAAGTTATTAAAGTTTATGTGATATAATAATGTATAATGTACGGATTTTATAATTCTAATTTAACATAAGAATTTAAATTTTTTTACACACTTTTTAATTTTTGTGTTGATACATATAATTTTTTTTAACACATGAATTTTACATACTTTTTATCTATACAACATAAGATTTGAATTCTCATTCAACATGAGAATTATAAAATCCATAATGTATATATACTATCCTATTGTGCTCATTTATCTCTTTTGGAAACACCTATTGTGCTCATTTTTAAAACAGATAGTGTCAACCACACTGAGAGTTGGAGACAGTAGTGGTTCAAAATCCAAAACAACTAAAAAAAGAAAGAAAGAAAATCAACCCAATTAATGGATTGGCTCTTCTTCTTTTTTCGCCTGGCTTGAAAGCTTTAATATGCTTTTTTATTTGAGTCATTAAATCTTTTATTTCAAACTAATATACCAAAATTGACTTAATTATTTATTAAGTTTATATTAGACTTGTTATTAGTTATATAAATCATTAAATAAATAAAAGGAAAAAGTTTTAAAATACTTACACTCCTATGCACTTTTTTAAAACATTTAACCCCCCTGTGTTTTTTTCATCCGCACTCTTGCTTAACACTGTATGGAAATTAATTAAATATATTTATTTTATTCTTTTTTTTTAAATAAAGTGATAAAACAAAATAAGACCAAATATTATGAAAACTTAGAAAACTAAATAAAAAACTAAAAAAAATAGAAAAAAATCAAATGTGTCTAAATAAAAAAATAGAAGAAAAATAAGGTCAAATATGTTAAAAATCACAGCAGTGACACAAAAAACTAAAATTTAAAAAAAAATAAGTGCAAATTAAAAAAAAAATACAGAAGAAAAAAAATTGAAAGAAAAGTAAGATAAAAAATTAAATAAAAAAGGAATAATGAAACAAAAAAAAAATCGCAATTATAAGTTTTTATATTTTATTTTATTTTTTGTCTTTGATCTATTTTATTTAGATATTTTTGATCTTTCTGATATTTTTTATTTTTTATTTTATTTTTTGGTGTATTTTATTCTTATTTTCTTCTTCTTTTTTTAACCTTATGCCGCCACCCTATCTACTAAAGATTTTAGTTAAAAAAATTAAAAAAAAGAGAGAGAGAGAATAAAATAGACATATAAAATTGACCAAACATGTCTAAATAAAAAGAATAAAATAGAACAAAGATAAAAAAATTAAATTAAATAAAAAATAAAATTAAATATATTAAAAATTCATAACTGTGATTTTTTTGGCTCTATTTTTTATTTTATTTATTATCTTAATTTTTTCTTCTATTTTTTGTATTCAATAATTTTTTTTTCATTTAGACAGTTTTTATTTTATTTTTTTTATTTTTTTCTGTTATTGTTATGCTTTTTAACATATTTGGTTTTATTTTTTCTTCTATTTTTTTGGTTCTTATGCTAATCTTTTTATTTAGACACATAGATCTTTTTTTTCTAAGTACTCTAGGTTTTCATAATATTTGATCTTTTTTTATCACTTTATTTTCTGTTTTTAAGAAGGATAAAGTATATATATTTAATCAAGTTTCCAACAGTGTTAAGTAGGGGCTGAATAGAAAAAATCACAGGGGATTAACTCATTAAAACAAAAACACACTTATGTAAGTGATTCAAAGCAATAGCATAAGTGGATTTTTAACTTTTCCCAAAATAAAAATTGGACTGTGTCAATCCTTTATGCACTTTAAATTATTTTTTATAAATACTTTAAATATATAATCTAATATTATTAAATTTGAACTCGTCAATGACATTGTCGAAATATTGGGTTACTTGCTCACTTGAACTTTAGAATTGAATTTATATGATCACATGATTAATAAATATAATAATATAAAGTCTATAGAAAAAGTGGATTAATAGTTAATGTTACACGTACGATTTTTAAGTTATAGGTTTGAATCTTTTCTATGGAATTGTTTTTAAAAGTTTTACGCAAAGTTCAAAAATCAATTCAACCAGAAAATGATAAAGAGTGAAAGAAAATATAACGGGAAGCCTAATTGAAAATGGCATAGGAAATGATCTAACTCAGTAAACTAAAACCCAAAGCAATCCTTTGTTTTATAGTTTGAGTTGATTGATTCTTAATTATTGTGTATTTTTATTTCATTTATTTATTTTGAGTTAGAGGATGTAAGACCATATATCAAATAAAATTCAAGGTGTACCAAAAATATCACTCATAGAGCGTTTGGTTCAGGTTATTGAAATTTTTTTGCATGCATCTGACTTTGATCTTTTGGGAGGATCGTGTTTGGTTCAGGATATTGAACAATTTCCCCAGCTAACATATTTACTTAGCGTTTGAAAAATGTGAAGCAGATTAGATAGAAAACACTGTTTAGAAGACTATTTCGAACATGATATTTTGTACTTAACCGGCTAAATGGCAAGACACACTCCACTGATAAAGGGTATACAACGGTAATTCATATTCAAAAAGTATGATCAAGGGTTATTTTTGTATTTTTAATCGATTTTTCTATTAATATTTTACCTTCAACCAACATACACTCAGAAAATTTAACTCAATTTTTTCAGTAATATTTTGGCGTGCCAAATAATGTTTTTGAAACTTTCCTACTAAAATTATTTTCTCATCATATTCCTACTAATTCTATTTTTCTGATAAAAAAAAATTTCTCCTGAACCAAATGTCATGTTATGGATAGTTGGTGATACAGAATTTTATATAATAAAAAAAAAATTTAAAAACTGTAAGTGTTATTAAGATTAACAAAAAATATTAATTATCATAAATATTTTTGAGAAATAAACTAATTATTAATACTAATAACTTATATTATAAAAAAAGATTAATTTATATATAAAGTAATAAAAAATTAAAATTCAGAGAAGGGTGCAAATGCAATGCACCCGTGCTTATAAGTCAGAAGGGGATGCGTATTTCTACATCTAGTGGAAGTTGATAGAAAAAGCAAAACAAAACAAACAGCTGTGAAAGCCTCTCCCAATGCCAGCACGTTACGTATCTAATCTAAAATTCCTTCTCAGTGGTCTTTTCTCATTTCTTCTGTTAAGAAATCACGCATGCGAGTCTCTAATCGTCTTGATACTGCCACTTCTTTTACTTTTGTGGGACTTTCTGAAAAACGCACAAAACAAAAGTCATTGTGGATATAAGAGAGACCTTGAGGAAAAGTAAAACAACACCCTTGGAAGTGAATTATTGACCCAAACTTCATACTCAGTCAGTCAACAGAGAAACTCTCTTCAACATATTACATATACAGGTTAATAGCTAGTTCACCACTTCTGTTACTTCATCAACTCGGCAAAGCGCTTATTCATATGCGTTCAATTCAATTCAATTCAAGCTTTGCTTTCTCCTCCTAAGTACGATGCAAACTTCGATGAGTTGAACGCGAACGAGAGAGATTATATGTACAAGATTTTTGCGATTTCAGCAAATGTATTACTCTTGTTAGAAAAATGGATGTAGAGAAAGTCTTCCACATGACTGGAGGAGTTGGCAAAACTAGCTATGCCAAGAATTCCTCACTACAGGTTCTCTTTCTCTCTCCCAACCTATGATCGTTTTCTTGTCATGGCTTAGAATTGAATTCTTTCTTTCTAATCATGTTTATCTGTTTTGATTGTGACAGAAGAAGGCATCTGATAAGGTAAAGCACATAATCATACAAACAGTTGAGGATCTTTACCTTGAAACCACTCCCAAGAGCATTGGCATTGCTGATTTGGGTTGTTCCTCTGGACCCAACACTCTATCAATCATCAAAGATATCTTCCAAGCCATCCAAGGCATAAGCCAAAAGATCAAGCACCATTCTACCGAGTTCCGTGTCTACCTTAATGATCTTCCAACAAATGACTTCAACTCAATCTTCAAGGCCTTGCCAGAGTTCCACAGGTTGCTTATGCAAGACAGAGAACATGGGGTTTCTCCCATTTTTATGGGAGGTTACCCTGGTTCATTTTATGGAAGACTTTTTCCAAACAGTTACCTACACTTTGTCCACTCCTCCCACAGTTTACACTGGCTTTCAAGGGTGAGGGCCCAATATATCTACTCTCTCTTTTTTTTTTCATTTATACCCTTCCCCCTTTCTAAGCATGCTCATCTTGTACCCTTACACCCTTATCTGGGACTATATATTTAGTCATAGTTGTTGCTGGTTTGTGTCATGCAGGTTCCTCCAGCTCTCTATGATGAACAGGGAATGTCATTGAACAAGGGTTGTGTTTACATTTCTGAATTAAGCCCTGCAGTGGTGCCAGAAGCATACTTGCAACAATTCCAGCAAGACTTTTCCTTGTTCCTTCGGTCAAGGTCAGAAGAACTAGTTGTTGGGGGAAGAATGGTGCTGATTTTCATGGGAAGAAAAGGCCCAGAACATGTTGACAGAGGCAACTCTTTCTTCTGGGAGATTCTTTCTCGTTCATTTGCTATTTTAGTCTCACAGGTACATTTCTAAAATGCATTATAGTATTATTATTTATAAAAACTAATAAGTTGAAATTCAGCACACAATGACAAATTAAAGTTCACAACGAGTGCCTATATAGTCCCTACTTTCAACATGGTCCTTGACATGATCTTTCAACCATTTACTGATTTTTATTTTTCATTATAAATCCTTAAATCTAGTCAATTAATAGAGTTGGCTTGACTTGAAATAGTGTCAACAAAACGATTTTGGATGGATATTTGGTCATAATTAAGTAATTAGATGATATACTCATATGCTCTAATTGTGTCATTATCTCTAAACTTTGGGCAACTAATAATGGAGATAGCATAGGTACTAGTGAAAAATATATGGATACACAAGTAATTGTGAATTATTTTGTCTCCTTTTTATAACTTTTTTATTTGTTGGCTTTAATTTGTGTTGAAGGGAGAGATAGAACAAGAGAAGGTTGATTCATATGACGTGCATTTCTATGCACCATCAAGGGAAGAAATAGAAGAGGGGGTGAGGAAAGAAGGTTCATTGAAGTTGGAGAGGTTAGAGATGGTTGAGATAGACAAGAGCGTGCAAGCCATGGAAAGCTATGGTACAAAGGTTGCAATGGCAGTTAGGGCCATTCAAGAATCAATGATCACTAACCATTTCGGAGAAAGGATCTTAAACAGTTTGTTTGAGAACTATGCAAGACTCGTGGATGCAGAAATGACTGAGGAGGATATTAAGCCCATTTCTTTCGTTCTGGTTCTAAAAAAAATATGAATGTAAAAGAAAAATTATAATTTTAAATGTCATTGTGTTATTTTAGCTAAAAAAAGGTTTTTTTTTTATATATAATTGATGATTTTTTTATTTGCTCTCCTAAATTTTTTCTCTTTTTCTAATTTTACATTAGAGAGAAAATATAAAAAAATCATCAAATGCATATTAAAATATGACGTATCTCATTTAGAATAACATAAAGTTGTTTTATTTAAAATAAGGGCTTTACTTCTATAATGTTTTAGGAGTGAAGTTATCTTATGTTGTGAGATAAATTAAGTGGGGTCCATCAATTTTTTTTTAAAAAAAAAAAAAAAGTGAGGCACATCTTTTTATGTGAGTGTAACATGAAAGATGAATCTTATGTGTATAATTTTCCTTAAAATAATAAATATTTTTCAAAATATATATAAATTCCGAAAGGATATTTTGGTTCGTAATAACGAGACATGTCTAAATTGCATCCACTCACTTTCTATCCCTTTCTTCGAGGAGTCTATATAAACTTTTTTTTTCAAGGGTGGTGTAGCTAGCACTTGCGGTATAACTTAATCATATATTTGAAAATTTTAAAATATATAACAAAATATTAATGATGAAAAATTACAAAATCAATCTATTTCGGACAATATTGTATTCGTCCTCTATATAATTTTGTGTTAAAATCATTGAATGATAAGATGATTGTCTATGTCATTAAATACGATATTTTTAATGTAAGTGGCAAAAATAATCATTTGTTCAGCATCGGTCTCTCATTTGGTTTAGTCTTCCCAATTTTTATTGAGATGCATACTCTATCCTGGGTTGATGTGGCAACATGTAACATTAACACAAACTCAATAAGTAAACGCACGAATGAATAAACAAGTGATTCAAGTATAATTTAAACTAATTTATCTACTAAAATAATTAAACACTTATTATTATTATTATTATGTCCCTAACTAGTTGTTAAGAACTATCAAATTTTAATGGGAGAAAAATTATATAAGTAGAACTTAACAAAATTAATTTTTACTTGCCAAACGTTGAAAACTATTTATCTAGAATTAAGTATGCCAAACAAACAAAAAAATTCAATATTTTTTAAACATAACTAACTAGTATTTTGTATACATTATACAAGTCTTTAAATTCAAGTAAAATTTAAAAAAGAAAAAAATAAGAAAGAATGTTTATAATTGTAAAAATTGAATAGTTAATAATTAATTTAGATATGGTCTTAAAAATATAATAAAAATAAAAAATATTTAAAATTATAAGGAAGATATATATAATTAATTCAAAGAATTTTGAATTTAAAATTAATAATAACTTGTTTCAGTCACTAAAAAAAATATAGATTAAAAGCTTAAATTATTATTAAAAATGTATTATAATTTTATATATAGATTAGTTTATGATCTTTAGGTTCTTAAAGTGGTATCTGGTGTGTTCACAACTGTATAAAGCAAATCAATTCGATAATGATGTAACTTTTAATCTGTTAGAACTGGACATGATCATGAGTCATGACCACCCTATGGATAAGAACATATCTTCTATATCAGGACTATCAACATAATGAATTTTGTTAAAGAAAAGGTTCCATTCACTTTCTTGGTCTTAAAGTCTGTAGCATATAATATATGTTTGAAATATTAATCAATTCCATGACATGCATCAATAATATCACGATATTTCCTTTTCAATGCATATGACAAATCATAAGTGGTATCCAATAAATTTTTCATCAAATGCAAAATAAATGCAAGACCAAATGTTTATAACGTGTAAAAAGTATTAGTTTCAGGCTTTTGATTTGCATTTCAATCCATCTTGATTCATTTCTTGTATAGCAATAATTTCTCGCCTTTTTTTAAAAAAAAAAATCTAATTTGGTAATGTAACGTCCAGCCGCTTGCAGATCAACGACTGTCCTCATAAACCAACACAATATTTTTCAGTGTACTTTGTCCTCACTCACATATTTTCTGAGAAACTTTTCAGACGGTCACTCATCCCAAAATTGCTCCGAGTCAAACACACTTAACTATGAAGTTCTTAAGTTATGAGCTACCGAAAATTAGATGCATCTTGTTAGTATAGGTATTACATATTAAATTCTTTAAGCTATCATCAAATGTACAGTCTCATACCACCTACATAGTCTCTGGATCCCTTTCTTCGAGTGTTGATTCGATTCATTCATGTATTCATTCCACTAAAAACTTGCACCAATCCTTATATGTGCATCATCTCTTTTGCATCGACGATCACTCACTGCCCTTATCAGCGCTCGAAATATTACAGGTAACTTTCTTTTCATAAGAATGTTAGTCTCTAAAAAAATTATCGAAGTAACAACTAAGTTGAAAAGATGAGTGATTTAATTTTATTAAAAACATATGTACCTTGGCAATGAATTACAAATTCTTTAGAATCAATATAATTAAGGTAAACATTTTGCCTATACCATTGTTCAACTTTAATTTGTCTCTAATGTGACTGATTAAATATGTATCCACTTTTTTATTTATTTTAAAGATAAACTTACTTTAGAGGACTTTTTTTCAATATCAAACATAATTATCTCTTTTCGTAATAAAAATGTGGTTCATTTATCACTGATTCTAACTAATTTGGAATAAAGGTATTATTGATGTTAATATTGATCAGATATAATTATCACTTGTTAAAGTAGCAATTTAGTATGTATTTGGGTGAGTGCTTGTAAAATTGATTTTTGTTTATTTTGATTTTGTAAAATTAATTTTAGTTAAAAGTGAGTTTGAAGTGAATTATTTTTTATAAAGGTTTGGTTAGATCATGAAGGTAATTTAGCTAGTAAAGCTACTGCTACTATTCCCCAGGCAAGTTTTGGAAGAAAAGTTATGGATTTTGTGACAGAGGATGGATCTTGGGATTGCAGTGAATTGTCCAATTGCCTTCCACAGGAAACTATTCAGGTAATTAAAGGTCACCTGCCACCTCATGTTTCTAATGGGCCTGATAGATTATTGTGGGATCTTCCTGGTTCAAGTGGGGTAACAATCAAGCAGCTGTATAATGCTTTGGCAAATCATTCAGAGGAAATTCTTCAAGAGAACAACGTGTGGTCTCAGATTTGGAAGTTTAAAGTACCAAATAGAATCAGTTTTTTTATGTGGAAGACAGCTCATAATCGTCTGCCAACCAAGAAGATGCTGTCAATGTTAAATTTGTCTGCTGCTTCCTGTCTGTTGTGTAACGGTGCTGAGGAGTCCATATTACACATGGCCAGAGATTGTAGTAGAATCAGAAATGTCTGGTTAGATCTTTTATATACTGATATGGTAAGTGAATTCTTTACTGCTGATTTTGAAAATTGGCTTTCGTTAAATTTGAGCCTTGATTCGATGAGGATTTTTAATGTTCCCTGGTCTTTGGTATTTATTGTGACTGTTTGACATGCCTGGTTGTGGAGAAATAATATTATACATGGTGGTGCATTTGATTGGTACTCTTATAAAATTGATACTATAGCTCAGCAAGTTAAGGAGTACGATCAAGTTTGGTTAAGCTGTTATGGTGTTAAGACTAGAAGGACACATGAATTTATTTCTGTTTGTTAGATTCACCCGGAGTCATGATGGATAAAAATTAATACTGATGGGGCAGCTAGGGGTGCTGGTGGTGGGGCTGCTTGTGGTGTGGTCATCAAGGATGAATCTGGCCGTTGGCTTCAGGGATTGGCTTATGACATAGGTCAATAATCAGCGTTTGTTGCTGAATTATGGGGTGTCCTTAGAGGTCTTGAAGCAGCTTGGGCTGGTGGTTGGAGGCGTTGCTTATTAGAAAGTGATTCTAGCTCAGTTATCACTTTACTCACCAAGAATGGTAGAGTAGCTCGAGAGTCTCGTTTGGTGACTCGCATTCGAGCATGGTTACAAAAGGATTGGGAGGTTTATTTGGTACATGCATACCGAGAATGCAATAATTGCGCTGACTAGCAATCCAAGTTCCCATTTGACCATCATATGGAGAGTAATTTATGTTTTTTTCCTTCTCCTCCCCCTGCTATTTTGCCTTTGTATTTGGCAGATTTTTCTTTGGTTTGTAATTCTCGTAAGGTTGTTTGGACTTGATTGTTTTCGGGGTTTTTCCCCTCTATTTTACCAAAAAAAAAAAAACCAATTTTAACTGTGAAATAAATGATAAAGATCATATATAAATATCATTAAAGTAAAATCATATGTATTGAAAAAAAGTAAAATCATAATGTTAAATCATGAGAACAATTTTGTCAACGCAATACACACATGTAATTAAATCATGATTTGAGGTACAAAATTGATTCTCTGCAATTTTGCCAAACATATTGGCCCAAAAAACAAAGCACATTCGTATTTACAGAACGGGCTTCTAAGTTCTAAGGGGGCCACCATTTTTCCAAAGACAGGCTTAGACGCTATCTGTTGTAAATAATAATTATTTAGTTATTATTTAGTCATTTATTTGTTGTATTGGGCCAAGCCCATTAGGTTAAAATTAGGTCAAATATTCTCTATAAATAGAGAACCATTTTTACAGATTATTTACAATTCTATAATATATTAGAATACCCTTTTTCAAGTTGGTATCAGAGCTCTCGATCTGAGGGCTTTGCTTCCGCACATATTATCTTCTTTTTTAACAAAACCCTAATTTCTTTGTCTCTTGCCGCCACCGGAAAATTTTTCCGGGGACCATTGTTGACCTTATTTTTCCTCCGATCTATCATTCTACGCACTGTTCCTCCGCCACAAACGACCGAAACACCTCCGACCGCCTCCAATCAGATCTGTCTTCACCGTTTGGACCACTTTTCGGCGACTTTTCAACCGCGACCACCCACAGACAAGTGCGCGCTCACCGGACGACCACACCAGAAAAATATCAGCCGACGAAGCCCATCCACGCGCTCTCACGCGCCGCCCCTTTGAAAAATATCAGCCGACGAAGGCCTTGTATGGATTGAAGCAGACACCTCGTGCTTGGTTTGGAAGATTTACTAAGGTTATGATGACCTTAGGATACAGACAGAGCCAAGGAGATCACACTCTTTTCTTCAAGCACTCCCAAAATGGGAAGCTTACTGTGCTCCTTGTATATGTTGATGATATTATTATCACAGGTGATGATTTTGTGGAGAGACAGATTCTGCAAACACGGCTTGCCTCTGAGTTTGAAACCAAAGACCTTAGGAAACTGAGATATTTCCTAGGGATAGAAGTAGCTCATTCAAGCAAAGGAATTTTTATCAGCCAGAGGAAATATGTTCTTGATCTTCTCAAAGAAGAGGAAAGCTCGGGTGTAAACCCTCTAATACTTCTATTGAGCAGAATCACAAAATGGGCTACGAAGAAGAGAGTCCTCCAGTTGATAAAGGACAATATCAACGGCTAGTTGGGAAATTGATACATCTGGCCCATACTAGACCAGACCTAGCTTATGCTGTTAGTGTTGTCAATCAGTTTATGCACGATCCAAAAGAAAAACACATGCAGGCAGTAAAGAGAATTCTTCAGTATCTTAAAGGTACTCCTGGTAAAGGATTGTTATTCCGACGTGATGGCAATCTATCTGTAGAAGTCTACACAGATGCTGATTATGCTGGATCCGTGACTGACCGTCGTTCTACCACTGGTTATTGCATGTTTCTTTGCGGTAACTTGGTGACATGGAGAAGTAAAAAACAAGATGTGGTTGCCAGATCAAGTGCAGAAGCTGATTTTCGAGCTATAGCTCAAGGCATTTGTGAGTTACTGTGGCTGAAAATTGTACTTGATGATCTCAAAATAAAATGTGAGGGACCTATGAAGCTGCTATGTGATAATAAGTCCGCTATTTGTATAGCTCATAATCCAGTCCAACATGATCGGACTAAACATATTGAGGTTGACCGCCATTTCATCAAAGAGAAACTTGATAGCGGGTTGATTACCACTCCATACATTCCCACTGGGCGTCAATTAGCTGATCTATTAACAAAGGGGCTTCCTTCAGACAGATTTCAAGCACTTACTAGCAAGCTGGGAATGATAAATATCTATTCCTCAGCTTGAGGGGGAGTGTTGTAAATAATAATTATTTAGTTATTATTTAGTCATTTATTTGTTGTATTGGGCCAAGCCCATTAGGTTAAAATTAGGTCAAATATTCTCTATAAATAGAGAACCCTTTGTACAGATTATTTACAATTCTATAATATATTAGAATACCATTTTTCAAGTCTATCCTATCATTTTCTGTTATCAACATGTTCAAGCATTCAAGCATACTGGAGTGTTAATTACGTACAGAAGCCTTACAATTAAACGTTCAATTATCAAGCTGAAAGTAAGATTGAAGAACACAAGTTAATTTGTATAGTGAACATGTGCAAAAAGAAGAAGAAGCAACTTTTGATCATGCAAAGAATTATAAATCCATGTATATATTGTTAAGATAAATTTACACATACATAAATATAAATGTGATATTGTTGATTTGGTTCTAGCTGTGATAACACGAGACATTTCAGAAACATACCATGGAAATGTGATCTTATTGATTTGGCTCTAGCTGTGATAGCACGAGACATTTTCTCTTGCTCACTCACAAGAGATAATGTTAATAACATGTTTGATCTCACGGGCCGGACCAACGGGATGGGCCAAATCAGATCAGAAAAAGTAAGCCGAAATTTTTTTGGTTTCAATTGTTTATACCAATATGCATATTTTTTGTTCAAGTTATGTAAATCAGCTAGTTGAAGTTGATCCATTTTGATGGCTGATTGCCCAAGTTGTAAAAAAAATATGTTTGTTCTTTTACATGCAGAAAATATTTTTTTGACACACTCATATAAAAATAAATGGGTTTTATTGTACATAAAAAAATAAAATAATGAGATTCACTAGCTTTTATATGAGTATGACAGATAAATATTCTTTGCAGCAAAAATAGAAATATTAAATTCATATATATATGAGTTTGATGTTTCTCGGAGATAAAATTATCTCCTACGTATATATAAAAGTGTGTGAAGCTTATGTGAGGTCATATGAAGAGAAGAGAAAAAAAAAATGACCTCACACATTTTTATCTTTGTGCAAAAAATAATATTATCTACTACAACATGGTAAAATGGGAATGTTTATAGCCGTGGCTACTATTGGTTTCTCTCTCTCTCTCTCCTTTTTCTTGCTTTTCTTCTGGTGTGAATTTGGATGAGTTTTATTGGTTTTACTTTACATATGGAACCAAATAGTAGCGATAGACAAATATATAAAATTGGACCTGACAAATATCGCTGTTGTGTGACGTAATAGTATATAATTCTCATCCCCTGTGCTATGTGCCAATTTAGTATGGAATAAGTTTAGCACTGGCACTTCAGATATCGTGCCTTGTAGGTTGCTATAAGGAAGAAAAAAATAAAATTGGATATGCCATTACTGTGGTGGCAGGGACGTTCCGGGGTGGAAAAAAGACAAAAAGAAATGCAGAACTCTTGCTAGATTTCGGGTAAACAACATAACCTTCTTGGGTTGTTGCTGGCAATGGATGTCAAAGAGGAAACCTTCTACTTTTCAATGCACTCGTTTATCGTGTGTCAAATTAAATCCTGAACATGGTGTAATCTTATCAATACTTTTTAAAATAAGATGTAAATAGAAATAATTAATATATGACTAAAGCCCTTTTTAGATCCTAAGAGATCCTCTCTTGAGTCACTTTAATCCCTTATAAAAAAAATTAGTCCCGAGATCTTTAAAAAATTCAAACTAAACCCATTTAATTGAAATTATAATCCCTCACAATTTTTAAAAGGTCCACATTAATCCCTCAAAAAATTTAAAATGAATCCACTTTGAATTTCATAAGAACTAATTATTTTTTTGTAAGAGACTAAAGTAAGAATTATGTTTTTTTGTTAGGGACTGAAAGAGACTTTACACTTAATATATTAAGCGAGAAGGAAGAGATGTGCTATCTTAGTTTTTTATTATTTTACACTAGATGAAATACTAAGAGAGAAGTTGTATTTAAGTTACTAAAGATAGAAGTAATATCTCTTAGAGCTCGTTTCTATTAGCTTTTTAAGAAAGTCTTTTTTATCACTTCTTTATTTTAAAAGTATTTTCTATAAAAATTACAGCTATTTAGAATTTTTAAAAATTATTTGATTTTTGAAAAAAATATTTGACTTTTGACTTCTTCTTTTTTTAAAAGCTAAAATTTTTAGCTTTCGGAAAAAGTAAATTTTTGACTTTCTTTATGACTTCTGCTTTTTTTAAAAGCAGACATCCAAACAGACTTTTTTCGAAAAGTGCTTTTTTTTCTTAAAAAAAACAGATTTTGAAGAAAAAAAAAACTCATCCAAACATACTCTTAATGTTGAAAAAAAAAAAGTGCAAGTGATTCCAAAATCCAAACAACTAAAACCGTGGATTAACTCGTTTTCCTCTCCTTGTCTCTTTCCCTCACTTTTAACTCGTCTTTCTGTTTCTTTCCCTTTCATAAATTTTGAATTCAAAACATTCACAAGATACAACATTCGAAAATAGAAACAAATTTAAAAAGAGACAAAGCCACACCGACACTTGGTAAGCATTTTAATTTTTTAGCCTTTGTACTTGGTTAGAATCAAGCCATGATTTGTGTTATTTATTTTGGGTGGGAACACAAACTCACACGTTAAACAGACTAAACAAATTGGGCTAAAAATAGTTTGATTTAAACTTTTATAAGTGCACTGAACCAAATGTGGTAAAGCCTGAGACTTGTATAATAATATGTGAAAAATTCATAGAACGAAAGTTAACAAATAATAGTGAATAAAAATTCAAAATAAGTGGTCTGAAATATCTGCATAAATAAAATGAAAGAAACATATAATTAAAGTCTTAATATCTGCTAAACCGGATGAAATGTCTAGGCTCTCCCCCGTAATGGGGAAAAATAATACTGAAATACAATAAGGATAAATATCATAATAAGATAATATAAAGTAATGACGACATCAATAACAATAAATTGTTCTGTAGTCTTGCAATATCAATAAAAATAATGATAACAAAAATGATAACCAAGAAGATAAAATTGAACTGATAAGGAACTACACCATTTGAAAACTAAAGTCCGCAACTACTATTAAAAGTTCACTTGTCAGCCCCATTAACTTGCTTTGAAGATTTTTCTTCAGATGAGTTGTTAAGCTCATCCCAAGCTTCAATCCAAGTGACCATAGCGTCTGCAAGTTTGATGAAATAGGGATCAACAGTGCCAAGCTTCTCTTTGACTTGTTTGGAGAGTTCAATGTAGCATTTTTGAACAGAGGTGCATTCTTTTGGAAGGGTGGCAGATTGGAAAAATGGAATGATCTCTTCTTGCCAGAAGATACCTTTGTACTCCTTTTTGAGATTAACAAATGGGTTGCTTGCTTTGCTGTGCCATATGTATGGAAGACCAGTCTTGACTCCCAAGCCCAAATGGTCACAGATAACCTGCAAATCCATCAATGCAGTTTACATGAGTTTTCTGTCACGATAGAGAAAGTAGCTTTGTTGAAGGAAAAAAAAAGTAACTAGCAAGGTGGATAATCTATATAGACCAATTAGAGACATTGGTGATATCTTCATATTTATTAGTGAAATATATATCAACTGAAGATGAAAACAAAAAAAAAACCAAACATCACCAAAGTAATCACTTAAGTAATTGTAAGAGAAACATCAATAGATAGAGATCCAGAAGTAGACCTTGACTCATGGATTTAATGAGTTATTAACAGAAAAGGGACACAAGATTAACATACCTTCATGCACCACCCAGCCCACATATCATCGTATCGTCCAATAGGCTGACCATCACCCATGAGTCCAAAGTACATTGCAGGTCCAATCAGCTCACGGTCGAAGGCCAGATTCATACCGCACATGGGGAACAATGTTCCTTTGGGAATGGTCAAAACAGCATCAACATACCTGAACAGTATACTCAAGAATGTAGTTAACAAAACCGGGGTATGAATATCTATAATGTCTATAAAAGTATTCATAATACTTATTGGCTAAAATGGAGGAGCTACATACCTGGTGTTCCTCTCACGAGGCTTGACAAGCTGTGTTGGAGCATCATAATCAGGAATGTTGAGCCAAAGGCCATGAGAAGCAGCAGTTGGGGCACCCTCACGAAGGCTAAAAGGGTATCCACGGACAAAATCAGCACCTTCTCTATAAGGATCATAAAGGGTATTGAAGAAATGTGGAGTGGATGGACATAGGAGATTCTTAATGTGTTGCTCAAGTGCATTGATATTCTTGCCAGATGGGTCTTTAGCAACCTGCACATGAAAATAGAAAATGTTGAGAAAATCAATAGTGCATTCTCAGAAATTTGTTCAAAATAATCAACAGGTTATTGTAAAATATCAAAGAATCTACTGGCAGCAATAATCAAACCAGAGTCAATATTTCAATTCAAGGTTGAGTAGCTTAAAAAATGTTAGAGGAAAACGAAGAGAATTCAACAAGATTTGTTCCCATTATTTTCCTCTGGAAAGGTAACAAAAAACAAAACACCAATGAATGTTCACAGTCTGTACAGATCTGGTTGTATTTGAAATCATTAAAATTGGAAGTGATTCGATTTAGTGATGAATTCTCACGTTTGAAATCCAATTTTACGTTTGCAATAGCTTCCGAGTGGAATTCATTTTGCTATAAGAATTTTACTTCCTTATCCTTGATAAGAACTGGTAGAATGAATAAATTAATAAATAAATAAATAAGGTTGTTAATTCAAACAACTAAAACTAAAATCAAATCCTGCCAAATTTTAGTGGATATCAAGAAACTCAAGGATTTCAAAATCAAATCAATCTTAATTTTAAAACTTCAAGAACAAAGAATTTCATTTACAAATCAAATCAAATCAATTGCAAAAACTAGTCATCCCGAACATACTCTCGTCGACAATGAGAGAAATCAAGCGAGCTTATAAGCTCGATCCGCATCTGATTATTCAAACCAAGCTTAAACTTCATGATCTTCTAAAAAACCAAGTCCTTGTACAAAAACTACCCACAACTCAACAAATCAAACAAGAATGCCCTTATACTAAGTTAGATCTAGCCCCATTTCAAAAACCTCAGCACAACCATCACATCACTCCAATGAATGCAATTCTGATCCAAATCAAGCAAGATCCACGCACCCCACGTGAAAAAAAAATCAACCAAAACCCAGATTCCCAAAACCCCAAATAAATTAATCCACCCAAAAAACAAAATTGATAAGCAAACAAAAAACATAAAGATCAAACCTTTATGACTTAGCCAGCTGAATTTCAAAAACCCATAAACAAAAAACAAACTTTCATTCAAAGTAGTAAACTTTCTGATGAAAAAGAAGAAAGCAGAATGAAGGGGTGGGGGGGTGCTTACGAAGCAATCGTCGTCAATGGTGTAGATATACTTCTTCTTCGAGACCATGTAACCGAAGCAGCGACAAGCAGAGTCCTTGAAGGAGATACAGGAAGCTTTGGGACCCAAGATCCTGTTGATATCGTTGCGGTTGTAAAGCTCATAGTCAAAACCTTCAGGAACCTTGATGACCTTGGAAGGGTCACCGTCCTGAACGATGATGAGGTGGTAAGGTTGGAAGAAGGGCCTCCACATCTCCAAGAAATCAAGGTTGCGGATCGTGGGGATCACGATGTCAAGCTCATCCTTCAACAGTGGCACTGGTATGTGAGAAGCTTCTGCCATTGGAGAACGAGAAAGAGAGAGAGAGAGAGAGGAGAGAGAGAGAGAATAGTAGCAGAATGTGAAGTTGAACGGTGGAGACTGACTGTGTTCAACGCGGAAATTGTGTGTCTGCGCGGTTGGATATATACACAAATATTTTTATTTTATTTTTTGAAAAACAAAAATATCTTGCGTGATTTTATTTTATTTTTAGGGGAAAAATGCTCATGTTATTTACTTCAGAACCATCTATGTCACTGTTTTTTTATCACATATGTTCCTGTGCTTTGTAAAATATAAAAAATCATATGTTCATGTGCTTTGTAAAATATAAAAAATCAAAGGAATATATGTGATAAAAAACATACCCTTTTACAAATCATAAGAACATATATGATAAAAAAATTACAAAAACATAAGTAATTCTAGAAGAAACCAGAACGACCTTGATGAACTTTTCCCTTATTTTTACGCGAAATAAAATCTTGCATGATTGATTGAACTTTATAATATTCAAACGGGAAAAATAATTTGTTTGCGGTCTAATTACATTAACTAACTGATTCAGTCTGATTTTTAAATTATTAGTCACTTGACAAAACAAAAATTAATATTTTAAACTGTGATCAAAGATAATACTGTGTAAAAGTTTTATTTTTGTAAATTTGTATAGAGATTATTAAATAAGTATCCATGTTACAAATATATATTGTTTAATTTGTAGGGCTTTTTGACTTTTTTGTCCTTCATTAATTAATTAATAACCAATTTGCCCCTCATCCAGAACTATCCACCAATCTGTCCCTCTTTAGTCGACTACGTTATATTTTTAGTCGATCAAATGGTCAAAAGTCACAATTTGGATACCACGAAATGTAGTCGACTAAAAATACATCTTGATCGACTACATTTTTGGGATATTTAGTCGACTAAATGTCGACTGAAACCCTATATTTTTCATGTTCTCGGTCTCATTTCGCTTTTTGTTGTTGTGTAAACCAAAATAGCTCCCTGTTTTCATGTGTAATCCTTGCAATCCGATTGTATTTCATCTCACCGTCTCTAAAGCCCTAATATTGTGAAATCATTGTCATTGCACAATTCCAAACCCCCAAAATTCGAACCCAAACCCCCAATTTCAGAACCCTAGTCCCAATTTCGTGTGGAAGATGAGCACAAGTCCAAACATGTATGTAACAATGATCTACTATGATGGAAAGCATTATGAAGGCCCCAATGGTGTTCAATTTGAAGGAAAAACGAAAATGTTGAAAATCAAACGGGGCACTACATACAATGAGTTAAAGGGGAGAATTCAGCAAAAATTGGGTTTGCAAGGCAGCCAATGCGTTCAGCGGATGATTGCCAGGGTAGAGACTACAGTTGGTAAGGATGCTATATACTACATTGGTAACGATATATGTGATGATGAAGATGTGGAATGTGTCATAGATGCAATTGTTGACCGAAAATTTCAAAATTTTATTGAGATTTATGTTGAATTAGATTGTGGTCAATCTTCATCTGCACCCATGCATACAAGAAGTGAACCGTATTTTGGTTATGAAGAAAGAGTAGTCGATTTATCTGCACCTGCACCTGTCATAAGTCAGATAACACTGCGGGAAATAGATGAGGATGAGCAGGATGCCGATATGGACAGCGATGAGGATGGTGAACCTGAGAGTGTTATTCCGCTAGGTGACACGTCAGATATTGAGATAGAGGGTAATTTCGACGCTGACACAAGCTCACCATCCCCGGGTTCGCAGGTTACGAGACCACTTCATGTTGACCCTGTTAGCAGTGGTAAGATTCGTTTTTAAAGATTTAATTTAGCAATTATTTTTTGTGTTATGATTGGTATTGACGGTGGCATTATAATGCATCCGTAGGTTCTGAGGTCGAGCCATTTTGGAATGAAAGCTCACATTATTCCTTCATTAATTGGGCACACCCTAATGATGAGACGAAGATATTGTATGGTGACGATGATGATCACGGTGGCTGGCAATTAGGGGATCCTTTATATTTGTATCAGGAGTTTCGTAGCAAATCTGAAATGCAACATGCAGTCAAATTATATTGTATGAAGGCTCACCGTACTTCCGTTGTGGCAAAAAGTGATGACCATAGATTTGTGATGAAGTGTCGAAGCCATAATGATGGATGGCCCTGGTATGTGAGGGCATTGTTGCCGAAGAATGGAAATACTTGGGTGGTCAGTAAGTGGCAGCCACCATTTGCGTATCACGTGTTTTGTCTACGGCACATCGGAAGCAACTTTAACACTAAGTTTAGAGATGTGGAATTGAAGAAAACCCTGATGAAGCTAGGTACAATCTTCTTTTTTAATATGTACAAATTGTATATAATGCATCCTTTTGTATCTAATACATACAACTTTTCATGTTTTTCTGGGTACTTGAGTTCAAAGATTCATTTTGATATCAGATTCCAGGAATTTATCGACAGTAACCCTCAAGTAGCTTCATGGATAGATCATATTCCCAAAGAAAAATGGTGCAGGTCTTACAATGAGGAGGGTCGGAGGTTTGGTCACATGACGACCAACCTATCTGAGTGTGTGAATAAGGTCATGAGGGGTGCACGTAATTTGCCTATAACAGCATTGGTGAAGATGACTCAAAGTAGACTTGTTGAGTATTTCGTCAAGAGACGTGAAAAGATCCAAAAAGCAAAGGCAAAGGGTTTGAGAATTGCAAAAAAAGTTGAGGATATCATCCAAAAAAAATGATCAATTAACAGTGAGCCTCCGTGTGCGGGTTTTTGATAGGGACCTGCAGCTATTTGAAGTTGAGGATGCCTACAATCAATCAACTCATGATGCAAGTGACATAATGAGGGTGGACTTGCTCAATCGCAAATGTCAATGTGGACGGTTCACATCTAGAAGATTTCCTTGCAGTCACGTCTTAGCGGTGTGCAAGGTAGAAAAGTTGAACCACTATGATTATGTTGATCTTGTGTTCTCAATTGCACAAATTGATAAGGTATATGCTGCACATTGGTATCCAATGGGCAATGAGTTGTTGATTCCACAAATTGATGGCCCAACCCTTATCCCAAATGCATCTTTGGTATGTGCACAAGGAAGACCAAAATCTTCAAGGATACAAAATGAGATGGATTGGGCTGAGTCTCAACCGACAAGCAGTCAGAGTAGATGTAGCCTGTGCAAACAAATTGGTCACAACAAACGTACATGTCCTATGAGGATTACCAGTACAAGATGAATTGCGGAGGAAGCATATGAGGGGATGGTGAGCTTGATTGTAATGTATTTGTAATGTCATGTAACTGAAAAAATTGAACAAATTGATGTCATGATGTTTGCATTTGAATGTAATGACGGTGATATGTTTGGATCCAAGGTCTAAGCCATTTGCAATTACTCTGTAACGCCTATGCAATGGAACTTTTGTACTAACATGGTACGAATGGACCAAATAATAAGAACCACAACTCATAGTCGTCCATAATAACTGAGATTAAAAACTTATATGTGTTTAAAATGCTTCAACGAAGATTTGGTGCGCATACACCAAAGTTTTGACACCTTACGCAAACCTTTCATGAATTTAACGTCCTCTACCTTATTTGACTCGAAAATTATGTTCCCTAAGTCACACTTCCTTACTGGATCAGTGTAGAGTGGAAACCAAGTGAAAAAAACAAGTGTAAAACATAATTTGGGGTGCAAAAACAAGTCACATCCTCCTCCTCCTCCTCCTCCTCCTCATCCTCCGCCTCTGGCTCAACAATGTGGTCATCTGGGGCAACATAAGGAACATCAACCTGGGGCATACCAGTGAACTCCCACACACCCGCCTTGTTCTTAGTAATCTTGCACTGCTCCAATAGACGCTTTCCGAACTTGCAATTATAGCCCGTGGTCTTCTTCAACAGCTCAGTCTCCATGGGAACACCAAAGTGAACCAATATCCTCTGTACCAGACAGGCGTATGGAAGATGACCCTTATGGTGGATAGTTCTGGATGAGGGGCAAAAGGGTTATTAATTAATTAATGAGGGGCAAAAGGGTCAAAAAGCCTGAATTGTAGTATCGTGTATTGTTTGATTGATTTTTTTTTTTTTATCGTTATATCATATATCGTAAGATACAGAATCAAAATAAAGATAATTTAAAAATATATTAAAATATCTATTTAATTACAAACCAAATCTTTATTTTCTTTTCTTATTAATAATATTTTTTAGAGTTTTTATTTAAAATCATAAATTAAATCTTTATTTCTTTTTTTATATTAAAAATTAGAGTAAATACCTTTTTGGGTCCCTAATAAAAAATACGGTCCCCACTTTAATCCCTTGCAAAAATAAATTAGTCAGTTAGTTCCTAACAAATTCAAAGTGGACCCATTTTAGTCCTTTTGAGGGACTAATATGTTTCTTTTTTGAATTTGTGAGGGACCACGATTTCAAGTAATGGGTCCACTTTGAATTTGTTAGGGACCTTGAGACTAATTTATTTTTGTAAAGAACTAAAGTGGGGACCGTATTTTTTGTTAGAGACCAAAAAGGGTATTTACTCTAAAAATTATGAATTTTAATTTCATTTTCATATCGTATGATATATTATACATATCGTATCTACAATACAATATTGTATCATCTGATACGATCCATTTTCCAATATAAATCATAATACGTATCGTTATACTTATGAATCGATGAATCGTATTGTGTATCGTACGATATTAATGATTATTATAAAATATCCGTTTGAGAAAAAAAAAATATAACACCTTTAAGAAAAATATGTGGTATGTCGAAAAAAATAATCAAAGGCTATTTTATTTTTTTGAAAGGTTCATTTTATTACATTAATTGTATTGATATCGGTAGATAATTGATATAACTTCTTTTATCTTTTAATAATGTGTAATTCTATATGAATCCATGGTGAAATCTGAGAATAGGCATATATTTGGAAATGTATCTTCTGAAATTTGATTTCAACAGAGAATGCATTGGTCTATTTTAACATACAAAATTTCAGTTATTTTTTATATATCAAAATTGTAACAAATAAAATGATATTATTTTTATTTTATAAC